CAAATGCAGTATTGCCTTGCCGATAGTACCACTATAAAAATGTATTATGATAAAAACCCAGCCTTTCTTCAAAGTAAAATCTGTCATACTATCCATTGGTAATCGTAACTGTGTGGCATAATTGTAACATGTCGAACCTTTGAGCGCAATATCCAGGTCATATTCTTGTTGAGGTCTCTGATGAGACTAAGTTAGGGGGAATCTTCAGCTCAGGTAGGTTGATAAAAACTTTTGGGAGGCTAGCTAAAATTTACTTTCATTGTAAGGCCTACTTTGTTCACTATATCCGTCCTTACTATCTTGTGTGGCCGTAATGACTACAGTCCTTACTTGAGATGTATGAACAGTCTTGAAAATCATTCATTATAAAAATATTTTACAATTAGCCTTATGCTGCAGTTCTATTGTCAGGGCTTCAGGATAATTAGTGCTGTTTGTACTCACATAATCTATATATAGCAATTTAATCAAATATAAATTGTTCTTAAATTGAACTATTCTAGGTAATAAGAACTACAAAACGAAACATTTATGGAGGTTATAAAGAATCGTGCATTCTTTTAGTATATAGACTTGTGCTTGGTTTGAGTGTATTATTAAGAATTTTTTTAAGAACACGATTAAGAATATTATTTTCTGACAATAGATGTTACATATTTGTTTAATTAATACCAGTGATTTTGATACCGTTAACCATTATTTTTTGCTATTTAGTTTTTTACGCATAGCGAGGTCAACACATCAGCAGTTAGTGATCGCTTTATCACTTCATTACAATCATACTACTTAAGAGTAGGGTATATTCTTTTCTAAATCCAAATGCGTATTGCTTGGTTTCCTGGAGTCCCTAAAGAATTTCTTATTGCTTTAACTTATTTCATATTAAAGTCTTGTCTGGGGCATTTATATTATAAGATTGTCTCAGAATTCTTGCGATTATCGATTTTGCTGTCAACCGTATGTTAGTACCGAACGTTAGTTGTTCTTGCAACTCGCCTCATTTGGGGCAGAAGCCATTGTTAGATAAAGCCCACAAAGGTAGGACAGTTGTCCAACCATATAATCCCTAACTTCTCGAAAGTCTGAATGAGGGTTATAAGAAGCCGAGAGTACTCAGCTAGTCATTTTCCTTAAACTTATTTTTTGATATGGGGCTTTGTGTCCCGCATAGAACAGGGCACACATAACAGACAAAAGCCAGCAAGAACTCGTGACGCTCACAGGAGAGTGTATCGTAAAATATTATGCCTAAATCGGTGCTCCAAAGTTTACTTGTTTTCATTTTATAAAGAGTACAACTAAGCAATAATTTCATAAAATACGAGCAATTAATGAACTTAGTCGTAGAATAAACGATGGAAATAATTTAGGTGAAAAATTAAAATAACTTATCCTTATTTTCCTTTACCAAGAAGTATGGCCAGAGTGAAGTACAAAAAGATGGTTAGGATTATGTAAGCACTGAGCCTGATGATTTTTATGGCGGGAACTATGAGTAATTTAGGTTTCGATTTTATCTCCACCATTCTTTTATTTTATTTTCCGTTTAACTGTTTGGTCAAGAGGAAATGAATCATTCTTTCATGTCCAGAAACTAGGTAAGAGTGAATAAGAAGTCCGGAGTCGGTTTCATTTTTCCTTAGCTAGGCAATTATATGCCAACATTACTCAGTCTATAACTGTTCTTTGATTATAATCTTTCTTATGCATAAACTAATAATGGATTGCTTATATCCCAAGAGTTGGCAAATTCATAATCTTTTACTGTCGTTTATAGCCCATTCTTGTAAATATACCCATCTTGAAGTATTATTTAGTATATACGTTTTTCATAAGTTCAGATAAAATTTCTCCTGATGAAGTCACGGCATTCAAGCCACTTGGTGGTCAAGGTGTGACCTGTGCTGTACTTGGACATCCCGGCTTTGTATATTCCGTTGACTTTTGTCCTCGCCCTGGAAATAATCCAAATCTACAATCAGTACGGAGCATATTCAATCAGATTCTCTTTTTGGCTACATCCTGTTTCGACAAAATTGTGCGTATTTGGGCGGTAAACGGAAAACGAGTAAAGGTACCTAAATGTAAAATAAAGTCTTTTATAGATTGTTTTTGCCTCGTAGGATATCTGTGATCTTATGCTTAAGTGGTAGTAGTAATTTACTTTTCGCTGTTTTATTTGAATATGATCTGAAAAGTGACGGGCTTATCCTTCACTTCATTGCATATTTTTATTATATTAATTAGCTTCTACAAGAACTTCAGGCTCACCAAAAGAATGTTAACTCGGTGGCATGGGCAGGAACCGATCTTTCACTTTATTCAGGAGACGCCTCTGGTACTATCGCCATATGGCAATTTATTCCTCCCGAATTAGACAAAAGGGACAATAGCAAGGGAAAAACAGAGCTGCCCTCTTGGTCTCTACTAAAAGTCATTCAAGATCCTGAGCTGCTGGCGAGTTTTTGTTCTTTTTACCTACCGTTTACTTCATTAACAGAGTCATTCTATTCAGATTGAGGTATCTTGATTGTATGGATGAGGGTCTCATTACCTCAATAATTAATTTTACATAAAGAGAATTTATGAAAATAACATTAGACTTTCCAAAGTTAATGATGGTAATCCAGCATTCCCGTCGAAGCTTTCGTCCTACTATTTTCGGCCTACTTATGCTTAGATGCAAGTTGAACTTATCAGGGCCTGAAATAGCGTATCAGTATAAGTCCCGACAGTATTTATTCCTACTTTTAGACTGTTTAAGTTCATAAGAAAAAAATAATAGATCCAAGTTAGTGAGCACGATTTTCTTCGAATAATCCGGCTTAGCATGAGGGCATGCTACAATAAGGTCCTGACCAAGTTCATTGAGGTTCAAGACCGATTCCGTTAGTTTCATCTAGTATGAACTTATAGAGGACAAAACGTAATGGAATTTAACGCTATTGTAATCAGCAAATGCCAAAGTCAAGAGGCTGCAGATCATGTTCATCAATTTTGAATTAGCATTTGCAAATATTTATCTGCCAATTAGAAAGGTCAAAATATATCAGGCAAGTTTGATGGATGAACTCTTAAAAAGGTTGGTTGTCCCTCTTGTTCTCTACCCATAAACTTAACGAGAGGGCAGAGACTATTCCTGTAATTTGTACTTATTTATTTCGAGTCTGGGATGATAATGGTTGCTAGGAAAAAGGGATAAATTGCTCAGAGATGCAAATGTATTTAATATAGTGGTTATAAACATAAAAATATGGTTAAAAGTACGTGACACGTTATTACACTTTATTGGAGAGTTTCAATCCCCTTGTCGCAGACAATTTCCGATTTTATATATAAGATGGGTTGAAAATCTATGTCAGGAGCATGATAATTTGGATGATTACGACTAATTCTGCATCCTCATTTCAGCCCACTATCAATTTCAATTGTGCCATACTATAGGGGCAGAAATGGACTTTGTATTGATCATCGCCAAGGCATTAATTGAAATTGTGTTGAATGCATCCTGAAACTTATACATAATTAATCTGAATACATAGGTGTAAAGCTTATATGAGGCACAGTCCACATACTAAGGCGATTTTTTTTACTTGATTTCCTTTTTAGATGTGCTATAATAGAGAATTTTTTTAAATTTTCATACTGTTTATAGAATTATATACTAAGTTGTAAAAACCAGTAATCAGCTTTGATTGTAGATAAGGTCCGTGGCTTCACTAACATTCGAAGTTGGAAACTTTCTTAATCCTCATGAACTCTTGATATCCTAGTTTGCTCTGTTTTCTTGGGTGGTATCAATATTTAGCATGTAGGCTTCTCTTCGTTGCCACTCCGTCAAAGTTTACCCCGATATACGGGATTTTTTAAGTCTTTATGTTGGGTTTACTGACTAACTAAGGTCTTTTATCCAAAAAACTAAATTATTCTGAGCAGTTCTGTAAGCAGAGGTGATTTGATTTGCAATTCCGAATCAAAATGAGCTAAAATAGACCTCAAATTAACTGCTATAATTACCAACCCTTTCGAGCAATATTAGTTTCAAAATTTTGGTCGCTTCTTTGTTGAAAGTTTAGCATCCTAGAGATCTATAAAAATTGAAGCAAACATATTTCAGTATAGACTTTATAAAAAAATGTTGAAAATTATATTTTAAGCTATCTGACTGGAAAATTCGTGCTCCTAAAATAGAGTCAAAATCGGTAAAACTGCTCAAGCAACATGGCACTAGCCTGTTTGAGGCAACTATCAGAATAGCACTGTTCAGATTCATTAATAAGGTTCTTTCTCAAACTAATTTTTTCTTCAAAATTCTTCATACTTTTGTCTTAGAGATTTTTCACTTTGCTAATGGCTGCTATAATTGAGCTTGTCTTCAACCGGCCTCTTCGCAGTCTCGGAATGAGACATAAAGATGGCGACAACTTTATCACCTTGAGGAGCCTGAATGTGTCTTCGGCCCACAAGTTAAAGTGCTTCTATGTTTTGCACTTTTTTTAAATACAAATGTGCGTGGCGATTTTTTTCAGTCCAATCACACTTTCCAAAATTTGTGATTGCGAGAAGAACTTGGTATATGCAGTACATTGGCATTGCAAAATATGGCTAGCTAAGATCCATGCGAACGAATCTAAGACCTTGAAACCCCTAGGGAATAATCTAAGGAAGAAATTTCCTCTGCTTTACAGCTTCATGTTTGCCTTTTTACGCCTCTCTCTTCTCGTTACTCTTCTCCGAAGTTGTGACTGTTCTTTTCCCTATGTTAGGTTGTTTAATTTGTTTGCCTAGAGTATAACTTCATCTAGCTGCATTGTAAGCGAACTGGGATATTAAAACGTTTTAAAAAAATTTAATTCTATATAAAAATATGCAGTACATGAATTTTCACGTCTTTAGCGGTCTTGTGTATAGGTCCAAACAATTGGCATTGAGATGAGATCATAAGAAGTGAATTAAAATGCAAAAAAATATCTGAAGTGGTTCTTTTATGCAGGTATAGAGAATTTAATTAGAATATCCCACCTCCTCAGACTTATGGGCAAGCCAAGACTTTGCTAAAACTCTGTGTTCTGATTGGACCAATTGTTAGTGAGCATTGCTTAATACGAATTGCGCGTCAACTTAATAATGTTAATCGAAAGTATGAAGAACAAAATGGTGTGGCCTTTTGTGTGGTCGCAGTCTCCTTTCGTTGTATAGAAGTTTTTTGACCCTGTTTTCGCAACTTGGTCATATTGGTAGGAAGACTTAGAGGAACGCATCTTGTCCTGAGTCCATTGTATGCATAATCATTTCCAAAGTGGAACCGTGGACGTGATACATTCCCAGACGTTTCGCCGGCATCTTAGTCGACATCGTCAGTGAGTTTTGCCATTCGTAACCCCATATCACAGCTCGTCAAAGCGACAAGTGAAGCCGATCCTTTGACAAAACGTGTGCTAAATAATTATGGTATCTCGCCTTCTGCCCTGGCCTATTCACATTTCCTATATCCTCCAATCAGTCCTTTACTGTCACAATATTTAACTTGTTTAATTAAATGTGGTACGGTGTGCCCTTTTTAGCGGCTTTCATAAGAACCCTTCGCACTCCACAATGGCTTTCTCACCCCCCTTCATCCTTGTGCTGGGAATGTTGATCAGAGTCTGCCATGTTGTTACGCAGTCTTCCTTCTCTAGGTCTTACCTCAGTCTCTCTCTTGCCACGTAGAATC